GTTTCCCCCCTTATATCTTCCGAATTTGGTTTTCCTGTGCAGTTTTTCTTATCTATCTCGATAGAATAGAATTTTCTTTAATTATTCTGCTTTCCTTTTCTCAATTTGGAATGCTCGTTTGCTGAATATAGTATAGAATGTTACAGGTGGCGCCGACGGTGATACGCAGTTGAAGTTTCTCCCCTTCTATTTGCAAAATTTGTTTCCTTTTTTTCGACTTTTTTGGTGTTTCGTCTCATAGGATGCTCTACTTTTTAATTACCGTCTTATTTGCACGTATAATGTGGAACGAGAAAAGATATATCTAACTAGTGTTTCCATAAAATGTACCAAATATTGTGGATTGTATTATGTGCCGCAAATATGAACTTATAATAGTAATGTCTGTTGAGATGTCTGCAACAAACGTATTTTACTTGTGGAATATAATAATAATTCTTGAGACTCCCCGACCGTAGATCTCCATCGTAGATGTGCACAGATGCAGCTATTTGTAACACATTGACTGTTGTCTCCATCCTCTCTTCAATTGAGCGGGACTACCTTGAGTTCACGACCTCGTTTCTTTGCAGTTTCATTGGAACAGGTATAGCATAATTATCTCATGCGAAATGTGATGAACGTTTTTAACCCGTGATGCAACACGCGAAATATTTCGGCCTGCCACAATTTCCTAGGATCTCGTGTATATATCATAAAACATTGTTATTATCAGGAAAATTGTTGGAATTGTTACGATAGTAATCTATGTTTATTACCGTTTGCAATAAATGATTGCAATTATTTAAAAGAAATAATTAATAGCTAGTAGACATATTACTGTAAGGTCAAAGTAATTAATACATGAAATTTATTAGTAGTAATAATGATTTATATATATTATTAAATAAAATCTCGTATAATAATAATATAGTTATATATAATATTATTATGGTCAACTTCTTAAGTAGTATCCGATCGTTCGCTTCTGCTATGTATGTTAACCTTGCAAATGTCTGCGCAAAAGTTAAATAAATTCTTGTTCAGTCCCAGCAGTTATATATTCGTGTTATTTTTATTGCAACAGTTTATTCTTGGTCATTTTTCTTTTAGCTATGCTTTCTATAATTTACAAATTTTAAGTTTTTTTTTAATGAGAGGCTATTCACGTCCTCGTAACATTAATTTTTTAAGTATAACTAATTGAATCGTGTTTTAAAATCATATTGAACGAACTTTAGACGTAGTGAAAGTCATTGGACATCATTGACCATAGAATAAATTAATGTTCGCAATCTTCATGAATTTTACGGATGCTTATATTTTATTGCATTACAATTTTACTTTGAATATTTCTTGCAACATTGTTGAAAAAGGATTGGCACTGTATATTACGTTATTAATTGTATATATTGTATTTTTTAAAATTAAGAATATCGCAAGGTAATGTCGGTAATGTCAGGAATGTCGTTAAAATGGTAAGTTGGTTTTTTGTACGTTCAATAAAATATACGTCAGAAATGCGTTACGTGATTAGTTATAAATATTTTACGAATTGTAAAATATAACATTTGTGGTTTCTAATGTAATTGAGATATAATTTTTTTTACATTTGTTGATTTTACCAACGACAATTATTGACTCGAATATAATTTATACTCCGTATAATAGAGGGCACAATGGTCTTGATTTTTACACAATCGGTATATCAGAACTTTTAGCAGAAAATTTTTTGCAACAATACATTTGTGCTATATTTTATTTATAACGATAAAATCTATCTTCATAACCTACCTTTATATGTTGTATCTATTAAAATTCGAGTTTTCGTAGTGAAATATACTCATAAAAATATGTTTTACTTTCTTAAAAAAGGTGGTTGACAAAGATTTCCTTTTTACCGTCATATGATAAAATCGTTGGAATAAAAAGTTATATCTAAAAAATGAAATATATATCGTATTGCTGTCCATTAACATATATACATGTCTATGCCCAAAAAGAAGTAATAAATATCAGACGTTAGCTATTAATAAAATACTTTATCCCTTCTACTATTTTCTAATAACTTCGCGTAGATATAAAACCTTGCTGAAACGAGATATTAAAAACGATACAAACTGGAAAACGGTAAATCGGAAACAATTTCAATTTATTTTCGAAATGAATTTTTTATTCCATCCTAATACGAGTTAAATTATCAGTGTAATTTCAGTAGCAGCCACTGGTGGTGCAGCAGTCGCTGGTGCAGAATCAATGAGAGGGAGTCGAGCGTGAATGGAGTGCAGGACAGAGTTGTTTCGCGTCCGATAAATCTCGACTAGGTCGACGGGGCTCTCGATTGTGCGTACATTGGCGATTGTGGCCACTATCGATAGCAAGGCCACGCACTGCCGTCAGAGCATAGAAAGTGCTGCTACGGATGTCGAACAGGTGTCCCCACTTCGATACCCTAACCTCGGCGCTGCTTTCAGTGGCTCTGCAGTGTCGGATGTACACGTATGTGCGACGTACGGGATGTGCACCTGGAGGCGATCTTGTTACTAGGTCATAAGAGGTGTGTATCAATGAAATTCGTGCTAATCAACCGTTGCTCGCGGAAAGTAGACGCCTGCAGTCACGAGAATGGTCCGCGTGTGTGACAGCGAACGCCGTCGTGTGAAGTGCATTCGTCGAGAAGTTTAACCGATCGTCCGCTGCTCGCACCTGGCGTCTCTCGCCAGTCTCATCCATCGCCGTGTGTGCGTTCTGCGTCCCGCTTTCTTTTCGTCCTGCACGAACAATCTTGCTCCGCGAACGTACCATTGACGTGTACAGGATTACGACAAACGCGAAACGTTCCGTGCGTCCGGGATCGCAGTGACGTATTCCTACCTCGGCTACGTGTGACGAATTCCACGCCAACTGCTACTGTGAGTCTAATAACAGACTTTTGTGGTGCAACATAGAATACGGAGCCAGCGATCGTAATTTCACGTTAAGCCCGAAACAAAGCGAAACGAAGTCGGGCGAACCGGAGGCTGAACCAAACGCCGATCGAAAGAGCGCGCTCTCGGCCAGGAAAACTGGGTAATGTCTTTTTAGCTCGTGTCACGCGACCAATACGCGACCATGTGGTATCGCAACGTAACGGTGCTGCGAGAATAGCTATATACTATATTCGTTCCCCGACGTAGACGCATTTCGCGGTATTCCATATAATTATAAGATTAATATACACGTATATACCTATATCGTTTCAGCACGGTGTGCGTAACGCGTTTCCAATTCATTCTGGAACCGTACCGCACGGATTCCATCTCGTTTTTGCCAGTCCGGTCGTGTGGCATGTAATCTTATTCTACCGGCTACGTCGGTATTCCGTTTAAAGGAATGCGGCACACCTGCTCATCTTTTAACGTATTTCCAAGGTCTTTCATCGGATCCCATAAAGCGTTACACGTATCCTCTTGGTATATACGTGTAAATTCGAAACGATAATCTGATTTATTTCTTTTTATTCTATGCGAAATATCTTACCGTTCTATTATCCACCATCGCGAATCGCCGCGAATAACCTTCGTTAACAATGGATAAATTATTCATGAAGACAAGCCAGTTGTTTTAATCGGAGAACATTATATAGGTAAATGCAGCATACCTCGGCGGTGATTAATAAAACGAGTGAAAGGTTTGCCGTGCGAAGTTCTCGTGGGTTGATGAGCGAATTGACCAGTTCAAGACGGCACGTTATTCGACCTGCAAGGACACGTGTACCCAGTTCCGATCGGACGGACCCCTTGTGCAGTTACAACAAACGATTCCACTGCGGTAATACGCTTGAAAACGTGAGCGCTGGGAATGCGATAAATTCGCGATTATTATTCCAAGATAGTATTCACGGAATCCCGTTGTTCCGATAATACTATGATTAGCATATTTGCTTAAAGTAACGCTTTGCAATGCTAACGATAAATAGCGATATAGGTCCAGCTAATCACGCCGCGATGAAATTCCCCGCGGCCATAGCGTAGAGTTTAGAAATTCGGAAACTTGGGGGCGCATAATGCGCAACGCGTCCGTAAATTTCACCACTAATCTCTATATTACGCTTTTTTCTCTCTTTATTTTGATCGAATATCGTAAATAAAAGTAGCCATATAAATTTAAAAGCCAAGCCGATTTATGACCAGAAAATATGTTTCAATTATTTATCTACACAATACACTTATGCTACTGATAGATGCCAATCACCACTTCTGATAAGTTCATGGTCAAGTGATAATCAAATATTAAATATTCATTATCTTTTGTTTATTTATGTGACAGATAAGATTGATTTTTGAATTATGTCTAGAAGCAAATGCCTCCTTGTTTTCTCGAAAGTATAGTATCCTGGGCAACTCGAGTCGAGTGTATAATTACTTCGAAAATAATATCTCCTTTTGCTCGACGCGAGGGAAAATATAATTATTAAACGTTGCTAATTAATCCAGCTTAAATATAGCTTGAACGTGGCATTGGAATTAAACGGTTGCAACCATTGCGGCAAGATTTCATTGTTAAAAATGTATTCTTTGCTCCCCGTCTTACGTTAATTATGCGCGAAGCTAACCTCATATTTTATGCACTACTCTGCGTTGCATGAAAGAAGTCATCTGAGAAACCAGCCCAAGCATTCTAACATCATGCCAGAAGTAGAGTAAAACGCTTCCCTTATTGATAGAATTGATCCCTTCCTGTTAGCCCAGTCACAGAACACCATGTGACAAAGAAAGCGACCAAAGCAACGAGACGACAAAGTGAGGCAGACGGAAAAAATAGATGCAAGAGCATAGACTCATCCCAAAGCGGTAGGTAGTGCTTCCGATTCATTGTAAGTTAACTCTGAGATAACATTTCTTTCGCGGATATCCTACGCCTATGTTAACTTTCCACGTTACCGAACTTGGAGATAGTAGTTTTGGGAGTGTCATAGAAGAGTGGGTATTACTAACAAGAGTTAGTATAATAGTAAGAGGAATACCCCTCTTGCCCCGCAACCGAACGAGATGACTTCTTTCATGCAACGCATAGTACATCCGCCGCCCCGTTTTCGAATTCGATCCACGCGGAACGATTCCGTCGATACTGTCGCTCGTTTCGCGCGTAATTCCGCGCGAAGGGCTTTCGAACGTCCGACGTCGAATGTTAACGGTAACGCAGTATGTCGCGAGCATGGCGACGCGTTCGACAAAGGAAAACGACGGGAGGAAAGGAAAGAGAAGAAAACGGGTCGCGAGGTGACGACGACTTTCATGAGTGAAATAAACCGTGAACGCAAAGTGCACCGAGTGAAAATAGTAATTTGTAAATTCACCAGGCCTCCGATGCCGTGTGTGCACGCGCACGCCTTTCGTAATCGAAAGATAAACGACACGTATTATTTTTCGCGCGCGCCACCTGAGCGGTATTCTAGATGAACGATTTCACCGAAAGCCGTTTAGAAACTCACGTTACGCCAGTAATAGGTTAAAAATTCGCGAGTGCATTTACGATTATCTACGTATACGCGATAATTAATTTCGTACGTGTAACTAACCTCAAATTTTTCTTCGCGTCGGTCACGTGGACGCGCATCGTCCGGAAATTTGTCGTTACGTATGATTTTGTACTTAAGACTGAAATTACTAGTAGATACGTGTAGAAGCAAAGAATACTAGAGATTGGATAATGGTCAGAAACGTTCGGACGCTGCCGTATGCGTGTAAAAGTAAAGGAGCATTAGTGGGCTTTATGAAACCGAAGCAAGTTCGCTGCAGTTTATCGCTGCTTGTACGAGAAACCTTTAAAGACTGCTCGTTGTGCTGTAACGAGAATTGTACACGACACTCGACCCACACGGTCGCGGCTTTCAACGAGTCACGCAGAGCTCTTGTGATTGGATTTGTAACACTATGTGCGCGAACGTTATAGTTTCGCGAATATGCGGGATGCTTGATACAGTAGATGGATCGATAAATTAGGTGTACGACTTTTACGATGGCGTTGTGATTCTTAGTACTCCATACGTTCGATAGGTGTATCGAGGTAAATTTTATTTCATCTTCTCCTTTCTCCTTTTTCTTTTCGCATTTAATCCATAATACCTTTCACTTAACTAACACGAAACTTGAGAGGTTAAGACAGTTGTTAATTGAGTAAAGTAGTCAGTGGTCAGTGTGGTCACGTGATTCTGCTTACATTAAGAAGGTGGTTCTTTTGAACTGCACTGCAGGTATACTGCGTTGAAGTACTACGGAAGTCAAGTCGGTATGAGAAAGATCAGCTTGTAAATTTCCAGAACTCGTATCAAAATTTCGGTTTACCTTAAAGTAAAGAATTTTTATTATTTTTCAGTTGGAATACGAGACAGAAATAATCGCACGAAACGAGGTATTTCTTTTTCTTCGTCCCACGAATATAGGTTAGAACATGTGCGTGATGCATCGCGACGCGTTTGACTAATTTGCAGAGCATTTAGGAAAAATATGTACCGATCATTCTATGCATTTCCTGTACGCGTTCCGTTGTTAATTCATTCGCTCTTACCCGGAAAACTTTATGCCGGTTTTGTGACCCGTATGAAGCGGTGCGTAATAACGGTATTCGTATGATACTGCGATCTTCATTGTATCGTTATTGTCGGTTCGTTGGTATAATTAGTACTACCGGTATTGCGAATTTCGAAGAGCGGGATAAGAAATGAAAAAGATTATGTCGCCGACAATAGAAAAACGTTGGAAGTGTTTATCTTTAAATCATGCATTTAACCTCACTTTTAGTTTCCCGAATATAGGACGACTATTTATCTCGTATGTATTATCGACGGGAACAAGTAAATGGCAAAGCTAATGGTTAATAGTTGTCGATAAGTAAAGTGAAATACCGATTGCCATAGTCACGAAGAAATTAATCTTACCGTTAATTAATCTTACCATTAATCTTACAACAAATCCTGATAATTTCAATTTTATTTTTGCTCCATGACGCTACGTTACACATTCCGATTACCAAATTGATTCTTTTCATTTTTACAATTACTCAAAATATACAGCTGCTTTTGTGTTTATTAATATTAACCCTTTGCACTCGAGAGGTGAGCTTCAGTCACCGTTTCATAAAATTTGGAACATCGATATAAATTAATATATCAAATTTAATGTAACGCAACAGTGTGCGAAGTATCAAAGTCAAATAATTCTACTATTTACTACTCAAAAATATATCGCCATTTTTAATATAGAATCTTTGAATTTCTACTCTTTTCTAGCCAGAAAATGGTCGAGTGCAAAGGGTGTAAAATTAATATTGCCCTTTATACAAATAGTTATATAGATACATCTAGTTATCGTCATCACACAACTTTATTTATTATTCTATATAGATACACTCTATTTAGGTATACATTACAGGTCAGTAGTTCTAATATTAACGTCATTGTGTCATTATATGTCATAGTGCCATTAATTTCATTAATATCACATTGATCTATACCACTCGAATTTCCTCCCAAGTTATTATACTTCTTTTCTTCTTTCAACGCATCGTGCGTTTCCCAACCTAAAGGCGCATTTTCAAGTGCGGTGCTTTCGCACACGCGGATTACGAGGCGATGATATTTAATAAACGCGTATTAACCCAGTTTTATCATCTTCGAGGTGTCGGTCGTTTCCTTGGTCGATAAATCACGCAGTCGCGACGGAAGCGGCAGGGGACGAACGGAATGACTCGGGTAGGCGCGATTTTCAACGGAAGAATTTCATTCGTGGGCCAAACAATGGACGGACGCTAGAAGTTGAATCGTCGCGCGAGTTAATTACGCCGGCAGCACTCGGGTTGCGAATTGCATCGCTCTCGAGGATGCTTCGCCATGAATTCTGTCGCGTATATTGGATCAGCCTTGCTTTACGGCTCATTTCGCAGCGCGCAGGCCGACGACCGGAAATGGGATGGTTCCTTATGCAAGAATAAATTGAAATAATATATTTCTCCTTTTTTCTCTTTTTTCTTTTCTCTTTCCTTTTTTCGTTGAATTAAAACTTTCCTTTGGGCGTCAATAAGATATTGTT